TTTGTACAATTAACCTCCCTGTGGTTCGACCCCGGTTTTGCCGGGTTATTTATTACTTTGACACTCCTGCACTTGGAAGAAGACATCAATCTTTTAGTCGTGTCATATCTCTTAGTTGAATCTGAGGAAGAACAATTGTAAACTCATTATTTGTTGATAGAGGAAGTTTTTAGGTGAACTACGGTCCCGTGATTTTTTCCACATTGCGTTTTCCACGTTAAAATCTTGATGTTAATTTTATGATTATTTGCATTATATTTGGTCATTGTTTGATTCTGTTTTACTGCACAAAGAGGGAAATAATTGAGACTTATAAATTGTGAATTGTATTCCGCTGAATTGATCCCGGTAAATTGGTGTCCAGTTATTTCTAGTTTTCCCAACACTTAAAGAGACATGATTGTTTATAAAAGAATATAAAAATATGAGTATGTATGATTTATAAACATAATTAATTTTAAGAACATGATTAAAAGATACTTATAATTAATAAAGTGTAATTACGGGATATGAAATATCAATAATGTAACATTACCAAATAGAAATAAGAGTCTTAAATTGATTTAAAATAATGTACAATGTATTTAACAGTACACATAAATATGTATAGGTAGACCACACACACACGTTATATCTAAAATTTGCATAACGAGAAGTGGTGATCTCATGAGTTAACGACAAATATAATGTAATGTCTTTAACACCCAGGAACATGCATGTATAGATTATATATATTTTTGAATCATTTCTCCCTTCTCTCTCTCTATATGCGTGTGTATTTAATAAATCCTCAACTCATGTTCTCCCTTGCTGTCCTAATTTGTCGATCACACGTGGAGTACGATAAATAAATGTAAAATATTGAATAAAGAAATAAACTGATTTGACATTTGAAAAAGAATGGCAGGAGAATAAGAAATAGTATGGAAATTCGTATTTTTTTAAAAATTATATTTTATTAAAAAATAATTTTTTATATATTTTGAATTTTATGATACGCTAAATTTAAAAATAATTTTTTATATATTTTGAATTTTATGATATGCCAAACTTAAAAATAATTTTAAAAAAATAATAAAATAATTTAAAAAACAACCACCATCCCATCTTTAAATATACTCTAATACAATGGATCATCATCACCACCCTGTTATGATAAAGATTTTAAACTTCACATCAATCGGAGAAAAAATGACACTCATGGTTAAATATTTATTAGGCAATATCGTATTCACATGGTTTAAATACAAAGAATAATTTGGTGTTTCACTGATGAATTATAATGATCAACCATCTGTGTCCTGAGTCCTAGGCCCAGAAACTCTTGTTTTATCCTGCAGTCTGCATTTGTAGCCACGCATCTAGAGTTGTATTTTTTCATAAAATGATTAAAATCTTGTAAACAAGACAGGATCAGCTTAGCACTGAAAGGCAGATGGGAGCAATGTAAAAATTATTGTAAAGAACTCTGCCAGAGATGATTATTGTTTCATTTTTCACTTGAGATTTCTCTGTCTATGACAATCATGCCATAGCCCTCCCTATTCACAGTTTATAACAGCATAGTTACATAATTAGATGGCCTGCACACGGATTTTCAAGTATAGAAGCGAGGAAAGTAAAGAAGAGAAATAAAAAGATAAGAAATGATCACAACATGGATAGAAATCCTTGTGGTTATTTCACTGTATTAATTACAAAATTCGTTTCATGTACATAGCACTTGATATGAATATTGAATCCTCTAGCAGATCCTCCAAAATTTGGATGCCAGGATTGTATCGAAGATCAAGAATGATTTATTGGGAGATTATGTTCAAAAGAGAGGCTCTTGATTTAATCAAGGGCCTGGACAGACGCTCCAAACAATTCTCAAGGTCATCAATGCTCATCTCCAAAGCCTCAAGTCTCTTCTGTGCAATTTTCACATTCTCGGAATCAGACACTTGACTTAGTGCAGCATCAACAGTTCCTATTTCATTTACATTTTCTTGCTTCTCTTCACAGGTTATTACTCCCTTGTGCAATATCAACTTCGAAACAAGGGACCACCTGCTTTGTTTTGGCTTGGATGATGTTGACAGGAACCTCAGGAGGGATTGGAAGATGGAACAGTTAATAACATTAACTTCTCTGATCACCCTAATCACCGCGGAGAGGTGCTGGTCTTGATCTAGAAGTGAAGAAGCCCCAAGTTTGTTATCCATTTGCTTCAATGAAGCAATCAACTTTTTGGTATCCTTTTTCATCTTCTTCCTGAAGCAATTAAAAGTAGCTACACTGCTTTCTATGCTTGAATCTCCCTTTCTCCTGCGGAAAGCGGATTGAAGAGCTTGAACTTGTTCCCTGAACCTCAACAAGATGTCCCTTCCAATGCTGCAAACATCCAAGAGCCTCACAGATCCATCCAATAATTCGTCGAGACATTTTTCATTTTCATGGCGAGAGAGGACTTGTTGGGTTGATGCCAAGTTCAGCAAATCATCCATACATTTGTACAAGTCCTCTAGTCCTGATAGACTATTGGAGATCGACCCTGATACTGAATTTGATGACACCTCCCATTTATTGAGCTTGTTCAGCTCTTCTTCGATTCTCAGTGTGGTAGGATGTGATCTTGAAGGCAAGCTAATTGATCTAACATGATACTTACAAGCCATGATTGCTTTTATATTTTCCCTTTTCTTTCTCGCCAGATGCTTTGATTTCAGAGAAGGTCTGAACCTGATATGCTTAGCCAATCATGCGGTTCTCTTTATATAGAAACACAAGAGGGTAATAAAAGTAGATATGGTTGGACAGGGTCGATGTGGTGAGCATGTGAGGCCACTGTGGTCTCTCCTTTGAATTCGGTTACCTTGTCTTATTCTTGGCTAACATAGTTCCAATGATATGCAATATTTAAGTCCTTGAAGGTTATAAATATGACAAGAAGAGTTATCACCGTTTTCGCCTCCCCTACAGCCACTTTAACCTCTCTAGTATTTTATGTAGCTACATCGGATAAAAAAATAAGACCTGTCTGGATTGTCGCGATCATAATAACCTTAAAATGCAAAGTTCACTAAACAAATCAGGATCCAGATCTCTTCAAATTGTTTGTTATGATACAAGAATTATATAGCCTATGATGACGAAGAAAAATGTTATGATACAAGAATTATATAGCCTATGATTATTATATTTAAAGCTCAGGTCACTATCAAATTGTTCACACGAGTGGCTTGTATTCGTATTGTCTACTATTTTATATGGTGATGCTTTTTGTTAAACGACATCGCAAAAAATATGCAGTAGAGTTAATTCTTTCGTGTTATTCTCCCAAGAACGGGTGCGTCACTCGCGGTATCGCTGCTAACTTCTTGTTTTGGCTATTGATAACGTTGTGTTTATTGCTGTAAGATTCAGAATGTGGCTGTTAGGGTGTCAAGAGGATCCTGCCGGAGAAGGACCTTAGCTAGTTCATGATCTTAACAGGAATGTACGTGGAAGGCCATCTAGATTAGCAGAACATGCACATCGGATCATTCTGATGAACTTGAGGATTAGCCCTCCATTTTAATTCTTTTATCAACTGAACTAATTATTCAAGAAGAAATAATTTGGTGTTTTATGAACAAAGAATATGCATGTGATAGCTGTGTGATTTGTCTTGCCTTTCATGGCTTTTTCTTGTAGCATTTTTATCCAACAATTTTGCGGGACCTGATTATATTCTCAATCCTGCTAGATGCAGAATATAACATTATGGTCTCGCCATAAATATTTAAACGAAGAATACAGGCTATGACAGGGTTCAGTGCAGTGTGCCTCCTTGCCGCCTCTGTCATAGCTTGTAGCATCCTCTCCAGTCTCAACCACAATTAGGTCCAATTCATTGAACCCCCTCTCCTTATAATGAAGAACCATTTTTTGTTTCTTTACTTGCACCTCCTCTTTCCATGTAGCACAGACGCTGAGCTAGAATTTTCAGGAAATTAACTGCTAATGAAGCTTCTACTGCAGTAGAATCCAAGATCGAAATATTGATTTATATATATATATATATATATCTAGCAAAAGATTAAGAGTCTTAGCTTTTAGATCAAAAGATTATCGAAAATGGAAACAATATCAAATTCAAATCAGTTTAGCAGAAGGACATAAGATCATCGAAAATGGAAACAATATCAAATCAGTTTAGCAGAAGGACATAAGACTGCAAGGGGGATTGCAGCAGGGGTATAGCTTATTGTGAAAGAATCCAAGATGCAGCAGACATTCATTTCTGTGAGTTTGCTAATTCTGTCTCAGCTAATTAAAATTGCATTTTCTAACTTGCAATTTTCTCTGTCCGGAACTATGATTTGCTAATCGACAGTAAGGTTACGTGTTCGGATATCCTGGGAAAGGATCTTTCAGTAGAATGTTAATCTGTCCTGACCCTTTATCAACCGAAAGAGAAAGTAAGAAAGGAACTAGAATGATCAAGATATGGATCGCAAAACTTGTGTGTATTTCATTGTATTAGTTACAAAGTTTGATTCATGTACATAGCTTTTCATTTCAATACTGAATCCAATAGCAGATCCTCTAATATTTGGATGCCTGTGGATGATTGAGAAAGCTCTATAGGGAGATCAAGTTCAAAAGAGAGGCTCTTGTTTTAATCAAGACCCTGAACACACGCTCCAAACAACTCTCGAGATCTTCAATGCTGATCACCAAAGCCTCGAGTTTCTTATAGGTAATTTTCACCTTCTCGGAATCAGACACTTCACTTAGTGCAGCATACACTGCTACCAACTCATTAACATTTTCTTGCTTCTCTTCACAGGTTATGACTCCCTTGTGCATCAACTTTGAAACAAGGGACCACCTGCTTTGTTTTGGCTTGGATGATGTTGACATGAACAACAGGAGGGATTGGAAGATGGAACAGTTAATAACATTAACTTCTCTGATCACCCTAATCACCGCGGAGAGGTGCTGGTCTTGATCTAGAAGTGAAGATGCCCCAAGTTTGTTATCCATTTGCTTCAATGAAGCAATCAACTTTTTGGCATCCTTTTTCATCTTCTTCCTGAAGCAATTAAAAGTAGCTACACTGCTTTCTATGCTTGAATCTCCCTTTCTCCTGCGTAAAGCGGACTGAAGAGCTTGAATTTGCTCCCTGAACCTCAGCATGGTGTCCCTTGCAATGCTGCAAACATCTAAAAGCCTCACTGACCCGTCCAATAATTCGTTGTGGCATTTTCCACTTTCATGGTGAGAGATGACTTCTTGGGTTGATGCCAAGTTGAGCAACTCATCAACATATTTGTACAAGTCCTCTACTCCCAATAGACCATTGCAAATTGACCCTGATGTTGATAATGTCTCCCATTCTTTGAGCTTGTTCAGCTCTTCTTCGACTGTTAGTGTGGTGGGGTGTGATCTTGAAGGCAAGCTAATTGATCTAACACAGTATTTACCTGACATTGTTGCTTTTATCTGTTCTTTTCTTTTTTCTGCAGAAAGTTTTGTTTTGAGAGATGATTTGAAACTGAGATGCTTAACCCATGATGTGGTTCTTTTTTTATAGCGACACAAGATGATAATGAAAGGATACAGCTGTGTGCAGGGTTGACGTGGTGAGCATGTGAGGCCAGGTGAAGGCTCTCCTTTGAGTTCGGTACCTTGTCATATTCTTGCCCAACGTAGTTCCAATGATACGCAATATTTAAGTCCTTGAAGTTTATGTCATGTGTGTGAGTTGTCTCGCTAGTTTTTCATTTCTGTGTTTTTTATAAATATAACAAGAAGAGTCATCTTCATTTTTGCCTCCCCTGTTGCCACATTAACCTCTCTAGTATTTTATGTAGCTTCAGCATCTTAAAAGAATATGGTCTGTCTGGATTGTCTCCATTTGAAGCGCCTTGAGCTGCAAGCTTCATTAAATAAATCCAGATCCAGATCCGTCTGGATAGAGAAAAATGGACGACATATAAACGAATTACTTGGACCATTGTTAGAATTTCTAGATAATTATTAAAGCTCAAGACACTATTAAATTGTTTGCACTTTGCACGAGTGGTTTGCATCGCTTGTCTCCGTTTTATATGCCGACGCTTTTATTAAACTTCATCGTAGTAACATATGCAGCATTGTTAATTCTTTTGCTTGATTCTCCCACCAATCTTCCGCATTGGTAAGGATACGTGTAGTACTCGCGAGATCAACACTTGAATCACTGCTAACGTTTTTCTGATATTAGGATTCAGAAGCTGGCTCCTGCCAGAGCAGGACCTGGCTGGTGGTCTTAACAGGAACATGCACAAAAGGACCTAAAAGGTTAGCCTAAAATGCACACACGACCAAGCTGAGGGATCCGTAGTTCACCCTTCGATTTAACTTTGAATTAACTCTAGAAAAATGGTGCTTCATTGACTGTTTTCCTGTGAATTAACTCTAGAAAATGGTGCTTCATTGACTGTTTTCCTGAAGTGAGATTTGCGCCCTGTTTTTTAAATTCTGTTGTAGCAATTTTATCCAACAATCTACAGCATCTAGCTCTTTCTTTAATCTTCCGGTCATGGAAACAGGAGGAGATAACATTATAGTTTGCCGCGAATATTTAAACGAAGATTGCAGGCTAGAAGGCATGAGTACAGAGTGCCTCTTTGCGTCCCCTTCCATTGCTGGTACATTCCTTTCAAGTCTCGACCACAAATAGCTCGATAAATGGCCAGGCTAGCCCTTCTTGATGATAAAAAAAATAAGATTGTATCATAGGCCATGAATCTAGGCTCTTGATGATGAAAAAAATAAGTTTGTATCATTGGCCATGAATCTAGGCTCGTAAGCAAGAATCAATTTGGGCAAAATTATTGATGTTAGCTCCAATTTGCGTTGAAGTAATGAAAACCATATGAAATCGTGACAGTACAGCTGGTTGCCTGTACAATTATTCTTTTCTCGGTGCTCAAGGAACAAAACTGAAAAAATAAACACCTTAAGTAGCAAAGGTTGGTCTATCTGCTGCCCACTGCAGAATGTTAGGTTGGTTGCCATTTCATGTAACAACACTTGCAGAACTTCTCACAGACGCCCTCCTCAACAAGTGACTTGATCGCATGCTAGCAAGTCCCTTCTTATCATCAGGATTTGGACATCAGAAATCAGGGTTTATTGGGATGAGACAACGAATCATTACCTTTAGGATATAATTCAAATAATACCAAATGCTTTGGTTTGTATTCATTTTATTCTTGATGATGTGCAGATCATAATCGAAAAGAAATAGAGTGAGGTTGGGAGTTGCTCAAAGAGAGGATGATTCCTCCTCCTCTATTATTGTAAATCTTGTACTCTCCCTACATAATGCAATGGCTTCTCCCGTGGATGTAGGCGGTTTTGCCGAACCACGTTAAATATTGTGTCAGTGTGCTTGGCCTCCTATGAGCAAATATCAGTACATCACCGGCTGGAATTCCCAACAATTGGTATTAGAGCTTTCGGTTTAAAGTGATGTTTGATTTTGCTCAAAAATGAAAGTTGTCAAAATT